AATTTTACTAGGTAATTTTTGAAAAATCAAAAAAAAAAGTTTTTAAGACCTAAAAATTTCTTTTGAACCCAGTTAATTAATTTTATAAAATGCTTCTTCAGGTTGAAAAGATAGCTCAGTGTGACTTCAACAAAAATCTCTTTTTTTAGAAATTAGTTTACTAAACAAGAAGTAACTTTTTAAAAATGCTTTTACATAAGAAGTAGTAGCAAATTCAGAAGTTCTACCAAAGGGTATTAAACACCGATGGATTCAATACCCGGCGAGCACCGACGGCCTCGCGTGGTAGATCCATCGAGAATAAATTTTGTTTTTTGTGACAATAGATAAATGTTTTGGATAATATATCTAATAATTTATTTTATTTTCAAACATATCTTGTAGTTCAACTGGTTAGAATGCCCATTTTCAAATCGAAAGTCTTGGGATCGAATCTCAATGAATGCAATTTATCGTGCAATTATTTTAGTTCAACAATTTTTATCAAAACTAATGCAATTGGGAGGATTCAAACCTATCTACTCTTCTTTAGATTATGAAAATCTTGACCATCACGGCATTTGATGAATTTTGATGTTAAATGTAACACAATGTTTAGTGCTAGCAGGTTTTCTAAATTCAATTGTCTAAATGCACCTACAAAACTTGCTCCTATTCTCACAAAATGAAACGATTCAAACTTTTCTGAATGCAGTCATTTAATTTTTAATATTTTATTTCGATCGATAGTCAATGGCCGTCCATGCTCAATCAAGATTCTGGATCTATTATTGGTCTTTAAATTATGTATTATGTGGTAACTGTTATGAAAAAGAGAGAAGAAAGAATAAAAATCAATAGATTTGTATGTATTTTATTAAGAACCAAAAACCTATACTTATAAGGAAGAATTAGGGATAAAGTGGTAATAATTTATAAAGCTGTCAGGATACAATTGTCATTCACTAATAAAGTTTTCGTTTACAACATTTCCCCTTGAATGATATATTATATAATATATGTAACGTTAAAACCATGTTTCATAAAAAATTCAATGGGCCAAAAAAATCAAACGAAAGAAAAAGAAATACAATTATTTTGGAATATTAAAAATAAATGTTGCTTCATTAAAATATTTATAAGAAAATTCAGTGGGATAAAACCTAAGCGAAGGAAAAAGAGTACAGTTACTGCTCCTGATATTGATCATTGAAAATCTTTGATTCCAAGCATTCCAATCTCATAAATCTACATAACCAATTTCTTGAATATAAATATTAACAATGCTTTTGTGAATAAATTGATCAAATTGTCACTTGAGCTAATTTGTTGGATATCGATGTCGCTATTCTTTTGAAACTCGTGAGTATGAAATTTTTTTGGAGAAATATGTTTTGTCCTATCACCTTTGATATAGCCTCATTTGAGTTGTGCAATACAAGTTGCATTGTCTTCAAATAAGATTGTTAGACTATCTTTTGTTGAAGTTAACGCGCATGATGCTGGGATATGATGGGTCATGTTCCTCAACCATACACATTCTCAACCTGCTTCATGGATTACAATAATTTAAGAATGATTTAAGAACATTTCTGTCACGGATTGCTTCACAAATTTTCATGATACAGTTGTTGCTCCATATGTAAGATTTAGCTTTATGTGGGTCAGAGAAATAACCTGCATCTGCATATCCCATTAAAGCGGATCCCGACTTTTGACAATAAAAAAATTCCAAATTAATAGTACATTTTAAATAACAAAAAAAATATGTTTAACATAATTCCAATGTCTTTGAGTTGATGTACAGCTATATATTGCAAGGAGATTTATAGAAAAACTATGTCGGGTTGTGTTCAGTTTACAAGATAAGTTAATACTCCAATTGCACTAAGATACGACACTTTAGGATCAACGTTTTTTCTATCTTCAAGTGGACAAAATGAATCATTTTCACATCAAATAATCGAACAATCATAGGTGATGCCAATGGATGTATATTTTTCATATAAAAATATTTTTAGACTTTTATGCATATGTAGATTAATGAACAAATAATCCTTCTAGAAAATGTTCAATCTGCAATATAAGATAAAAATTGATTTTTCTCAAATCTTTCATCTCAAATTCATTAATCTCCACTTTTATTTAGCTCTTCAGGAGTTTCAATTAAATTTAAATTATCAACATAAACTGCTACAATTGTAAATCAAATATTTATTTTCTTTATGAAAATACATGGGCAGATATCGTCATTTTTATAACCTTCATTCAACAAATATTCGTTAAAACGATTATACCTTGTGTCCATTTTATTTGGTTTAATCATTATTTTTATTGATATATTTCGATGCATTTATTTTGATTATTCGTTATATGATGCAATACATCATGTACAAAATTGTTGTCGATAATTTTTTCTTTTCGATTCTATTTCTTTTCCCATAATAATATAACTTATTGAGATATCTCAAGTTTTATTATTTCAGGTACTTGAACCTCTTCTAAAGTTTTATAATTTATTATATCTAAATACTCATGAAGAGTATATGCCTCTTTAATAAGATCATCTTTGTTAATTTCTATATTTTCGTTTGAAGTTTTTTTGTATTAAAATCGAACACTAACATTTTAAATGTGTCATAGATACATCAAATATAATGCTAATAAATTATCATCATAGGACATCAATTCATGGTAGAACATTTAAAATTGGTGAGTGAGCTATTGTTTATCTCTTTGATCAGTAAATATATCTAAATAAATTATTTTTCGAACTTCTGGTCCAAATTATATTTTGCGAGGATTTGGATGATGATGCACATATACATTATTTAACTTATTAATTTCACTCCTTAATATTGAGAAAATCGTCCATAAACTATACATCTAGTCTCAACATTCTTTATTTCTCCATCTTAGTGTATTGTGGTGGTTCAATTTTACATATACTGCACTATTAAAATAATTAGATGAAAAAATTAGGTTTTGACCATAAACCAATTATAATATAAAGAACTTTGATGTTGGCATGATACGTGATAGAATTTTTTTTTAAAAATGGAAAATACTTTGTTCTGAATTAGATTAATTAGAGGCGTTTAACAAATAATAGTGTTAAACCATATATTAATATCCTAATTAACACTTATAAAATGTTGAGATTTATGCTCACTAATATTAACAAGACACGGTCTTGATTATATAATCTAAAAAATATGCTCATAATTTAAAATTTGAGTAGTAATTTCACAAATTTCAATTTGTGCACACCATGCTATCATATACTATATGTATCAAATCTATTAGATACAAATAATATTTAGATGATCAATATGGAGGATGATGAGCCCCACTTATCATCCTAATTAATTTTCAAAAATATAGGAAATTCAGTCCCGATTTTAGCTAGTGATGGTTATTGAAAATTTTCAAGAAATATAACAAACATCATACAGAATTAAATTGAAGAATCTTCTAGTTCTTCATTGAATATCCATTTGTATTTTTAAATTCACATCATTATTAATCCAGTGATGCTCCAACTGGTCATGTCAAACAATAAAGTCAAATTGAACTTCTGGCTCAATATAAGATATAATTTGATGATTTAATTTCAAAAAATACGATTAAAACTTAAATGATCATATATCATTCAAATAGCCAAACTAATCAATGTTCTTATGACATTAGTTAGATGTTTTCATTTGGGGATAAATATAAATTCAAAATGATATATTCTTAAAAAATGTGCTATTTTGAGATCCCATTATCTTTAATTATTATTTCTTCAAGAGCAAAATGTTAATATTCTTCTAAAATATATAAAATTATAATTCATGCTCTTCAAGAGCAATAAATTAATATATTTTTATTTAATATTATTAATATAGAATTAGTTTTCTTTAAAATTTACAACTCAATATTGAGTTGTTTAATTTGTATTTCTTCATAAACACAATGATATATATATAATATTTAAAATATATGATATTTCAACAGCACATTATATTTTATTACTACTTCTTCAATATCAATAAATTAATATTCTTCTAAAATATTGATAATAATATTATTCTTTTCAGGAGCAATAAACATAATATTCTTTAGAAATATTAGTTTTAATATTGTGTTATTTCAAGAACAACATGATAAATTATTAATTTAAAGTTTATAGAAGAACAACTAAAAATATTTAATTAGTACAAAGACATGCAATGTGTCATTTAAGGAATGTTGTAATTTGTAAGTTTATTAATAAATGACAATTGTATCGTTATGCATATAATGAAATAATCATTATAAATTTGTGTACAAGCAAAAAAAGTATAGAAGAAGAAGTAGTCTCGTTTTGATGCATATCTATGTAGAAAAATTCACAAGTCATCAAATTAATTTTGATATACATGATAAATATTCATGCTTATAAGAAATTACAACATTTATTAAACTTTGAAAAATTAAACTATCATGCTGATAACGTGTTATGAAAATGAGAAGATAGAATAAAAATCGATAGAAGGATATTTAATTCATTCTTCATGAGGGAAGGGTATTTTTGGTTTTCAATTTTCAGGCGGTCAAAAATTGCGACCAAAATGGGACCAATGTTCAACTATGTAATGGTCAAATAATTGCTAAAATTGGGAGGGGAAAGCTCTCCCAAACAGGGGCTAAGATATGTTTTTGAATAATTTTGAATAATTTTCTGAAAATATTTTTTTTTATTAGAAGAACTTTTATAAAAAGTTCGTCTGAGTAACTTCTTTAAAAAGCTTTTCTACAAAAATAGAAACAAAGGTAGAAGTCCTGTCAAATAAGCTTCAAGTAACATACCAAATTTTACTTGAAACGGATCAATGTGCTCAACTCCTGTTAAAGGGGGAACGTTAATGCAAAAACCACAGTTTAAGAGCACAAAACAAACGCGACTAGAAAAAAAATTGAAAGTTTTGATTTATAGTCTACTAAATAAAGAATTGTACCTAAAAAATTAAAAAAAATTAAGCGCTCATATAGCACAGTTAAATTGCTTGCACCTCAACTTCAGTTGGTATCACTGTCGGCTTAATATGCTCTTCATTCTTTGGAGGAAGAATATTGACAACATCTAGAATAGGAGTTTTTGGACCATTCTTCCCTTCAGGATCCCAATCAAGCATGATCTTGAACTTGATTCCAAGTACTTCCTGACCAGTTCATAACATTGTTTCGCACGGGTTAGTCGCTAACAATTAAAAATGGATCAAACGATTGTGTAAGGGACATACCTCTTGAAACAAAGTCCCAAAAAGGGGTGTTCTTTATTGACGATATCTTTACAATCGGAAAGTAAAAATAGAATGCCTCCAAGGGACGCAAGCACACGAGTTACTGAAAGAAATGTTTAAATCTAAACTAAGAAATTTAAAATTACATGTTCTCTGTTCGAAAGTTTTTTGATTCCGGGGCTTTTGCTCTATGTCTTTTCTTCCTTTTATACTCCCTGGATGATCTCTTTGTGATCAACCGCCTAAAAACTGTTTGATCGTTCTATAACTGCCCACTTTCCTCGTAATGGCCAACTTGTCATGGAACTGCCTTTTTTAACTATTGTCATTACTCTTTGTTGTTCAACCATTTTTTATTGAATTCCTTGAATCGTGGAATGTGATAGGGCTGTTTAATAACTGCTTTGATAACTGCATTTCTTGATAACCATAACACTTCATGTTTGTTAAGACCTTGAGCGACTCGAAGGTTTGGGCGAGAATAGAGTAGCAGTTCTGGGCGACTGCATGGCATTCCATTCGCTCAGATCCTGGGTGACTTGCAAGCTTGGGCGATGGTGTTGCCACGTTCACGGGCCTCCCTATTTAGGCCTTCATCCTGAATTGTCTGATTGAACTTCATTCTTTGGGCTATCTGATTTGGGGATCCTCCAATTGGGCTTCATTCCTTGGACCGTTCGTTTTGGGCTGAAATTTTTATATGTCAACAATTACCCTCCAATATGGCAGAATTAATACCAATTATTAAATTTTGCCATATTCACTTTTATGTTTCCAGCAACATTTAAAATTTCCAAGAATTTCAATCATTGTTTTCTTCCATAGCTTTGAAAAGGTGTGACGTTTTGCAAACCCTTATAACCCTCAAATACGTCATTTCATTGTACCATTAAATCACACCTCACTTTTTCGCATTTCTCTCTCATAATTTGCTATTCATCTCTTTGCTTCCCTGCTACGTAACTCTGAAAAATTCTGTTTCGTCCCTAATGGCTACTTCACAATCTCAATCTAGCAACTCCTTTAGTTTTGATGACTTTCAAAAACTCCTTAATCGTCCATACATAACTCCGAGCTTTCTCGCACCTGCCAATGTCGAACTCAATGAGTTCTACCTAGGTCCTTTCTTCAACAATGCAGAGGCAGTCGAACAAGCGGCGATGGGCCAGCTGTTTCCTTGTACTCAAGGCCCTCCATTTCTAAACTCTTTGCCGCTAGGGCCACTTCGCGAAAGAGGTATTCGCACTTGGCCCAAATCTGACGTAGTTTTCCGTAGGTGGCATGCTCGCCTTGTGGACCATGGTCCTACTAAGGCACTTTTTGATAATGTTAGGATTTCTGATTTGTTAGAAATCTCTCTTCAACCCCCTACTTTTGATTCAGCATTTTTTTCAATCGCTCTAAGTTTTTGGTCTTCTGAATATAATACCTTTATTTTTCCTCTTGGCCCCATGTCTATTACTTTATGGGATGTTGGGGCCCTAGTGAATCTGCCACCTTTAGGCGATACAATTTTTCCTGGTATCTTGATTTCTGGTGGCGTCCCAAAGTTTGGTTAAACCCTCACCGAGTCTTATTCAAGCCTGCAAACCATTTATAACCATTCGAGCGCTGAGTTTTCTCATACTGAGCGAGTGGCCTTTCTTCTAGTTTGGCTTTGTAAATATGTTTTGTGTGTGCCAAGCATAAAGCCCTCCCTGAGCTATTTACCCATAGCACACGAATTGGCGCGTGGTAGGCCTCTGAATTTATGTTCTTTCTTTTTGGCTGCCCTCTATAGAGACATGGCTTCTCTTCAAACTCAATTGAAGAATGGTGCATCTCCCACTGGCAGTGGACCTCTTTGGTTCACTCAAATGTGGTTGAGATCCTATTTTCCATTGCTTGGTGCTCCATCAATTTCTCGTCCTTCTGCTAGCTGCTATGGGCTAGCTATTGAGCCCCTGGCTCCTGTAAATATGTCTAGAAGGGACATTTTTTCATTCTTTTATTCTTTGGATTCAATCCCTTTCTTTTTTCCTTTTCCTCCCTTTTTGACTCCAGACTATGTGCATCCTCCCTCCACTATAGATAGCGCGAGCATCTCTCTGTTCATTTGGATCCAATTTTTAACCGGGAGGGAGTTATTTCATGATATTTTGACTAGGACCAATGCCAAGGCAGGGGTAGAAATATATGCTCCCCAATTTTTTGCTCGCCAACTTGGTTTCGACCAAACCTGGCCTGTTCCTCCTTGCTATTCAAGGAACTTGATAGACCGCTTCCATATTATTAATAAGGCGGAGGCAGAGTTTATAAATGCTCACAATCTTCTTTTGACGAGCCATTTTTCATTAGCCCCCTTCAATTCTAACCATGCCATCCATCCCCTTTTTGAACAGCTCTGACCGTCAGTGAAGCGCAGATTGTTTGCGACTGATGCCAATCGTGCCTTTCATTCACTGGACCAGCCGAGCATTTCTTCCCCTCCTCCTGTTTTAGTCACCCCTTTGTCTATCCGGAGTCCTTCTCCTCCTCGTCGCGCTAAACAGTCTGCTCGTCCATCTTCTTCTCTCCCTGCCAAGCCTACTGCAGCCAAAAGTGACCCGAGCCGCAAACGGCCAGTCTCAGCATCTCCTATTCTGGAGGATGATGTTGATGATGATGATGATGATACCCCTCTTATCATCAGGAGGAAGGTAATTAAACTGGTTTACTCACAAGCATACTTTTCCATACTTGAAACTTTTCTGTGTGCTAATGATTTATTTGGACTTCTCAGAAAAGTTCAGCCTCTCCTTTAAAGGCTTTGGTATCGACAGCTCCTGCTCCATCATCCTCCGCTGAGGCTGCTTCATCCAAACCAACTGATGAAGGGACTACGCTTAAAGAGACATCTTCAGTCCCAGAATCCTCATCACAACCAATGGATGAGCCACCCTTCTTCCCAGGGCGTCAACCCCCCAAACATCGAAGCAGAAGGTAATTCAGTTTTTGATGCTTTACCTTTGCTTGTGCTATTGGTTTCTGATTTGTTATTTTTGAGTTCTGCAGATGCTCCTATGAGTCTGCCCGTTGTGGCAACATCTTCTCGCTCAGACAAGGGGAAGTCCTCGCGAATGGTGGAGCCACAGGTGGCAGACTTGGCTGAGGATATGCCATCTTCTAAGATTATTGATGAGGTAATCTTTGCTTCACTTTTATTTCCATCTTGTTTGTTGTAGTGAGAATCTTCAGTATTGGCAATTTTCTTTGCAGAATGCTGATAAGATTGTGCGTTATATCCAAGACTTGTTCGCTTCCTGAGGACAAGTCAAGACATCTCGCCCTGCTCCATCTGGTCGTCCTGCTACTTCTACAGAGGAAGATATGAAGTTCCTCAAGCAGTCAATATTTGAGTAAGTGTCCTTCATGGATATGGACATTGGTAAGGCTAGTGCTGCCAGACATAAGGATAAACTTGAGTATTTGAATGCGAAGTTGGAGCAAGCACTGACACTTCCGTCGCTCAATCTTTCTGCTGATTTTAAAGCGACGTTGAAAGTTATCCATTCCGAGGTCCTTTCCTTGCTAGCCAAGAATGTTGAACTGAAGGCCAAAAGTACTCAATATTTTCGCGTCGTATCTGAAAAAGAGTCTTTGCGTCAGGAGATCAACAAAGCTGAGGATGAGTTGAAAGAAATCTCTTCCGAAGTCATGATTGAAGACTCTTTGATGGCTAGTTTGGCTGCTTAGATGAAGGAACTTCAAGCCAAAATGGACGACTGCAAGGCAAGAATGGCTGCTAAAAAGCGTAACGCCTCTCAGGGAATTGAGCGAACTAAGTCTTTGGTCGAGCAGTACAAGAAGTTGGAAGTTGATGATGATGTCGTGGCCGAATTGAACATCACTTCCTCTCGGCAGAACGAGGACTGGGAAAAACTTAGGGAAAGAATTCGTTCGGTATGGGGCAGATTGTAATTAAGACATATAATGTCTTAACTTTTTCTTTTTGTAATTTCGCATTTGACTTTTCCTTTGTAACGTTGTTCATCATTAATGAACATCTATGTTAACTTCTTGTGCATTTATTTGACGTTTATCTTTTAATCGTCAATCCTTCAAGCATTTAACTGCTTTGTGCTAAAAATCTTGCACATTTTCTCTTGATATTTTCACCTCTTTTCCCAAGACTTTGGGCTACTTAATTCCATTTACTAGGCAGAATGTGGCTGCTCATATTCTGTCTCTTCATCTCCACCCCCTATAAATGCACATATGCTTCGCACTTTCCATCTTCCATCTTCATTTTCATTCTCTTCTTCAAAACCAATTTGCTACCATTGTTTGGCATTCTGATAATCAATCCAAAACCTTCATCTTCTATAAAGATGGATTGTTTGGTCCACCCATTTTACTACTTGTCTTGATGTCACCTTTGGTATGGGAGATATAGGAAATATTTTTTGGCCAGCAGCGAAGTTTTTCCCATCAAAGTTCTTCCCATCGTCTCTTTGTTCTTTACAAGGAGTTCGATGATAGAAGGCAATTTTTGGGATGCTTGCGGGCCACCTTGCTTGCTGAGAGTGCTTCTCAACCTCTTTGCCCGCCATTGCAGCGATACATTTAGGAAGGCGGTGCGAGGCCAGTCCACCCTCTTACTCGGCGATCAACCAGGAGATTAGCTTACTTGTAGTTTGTAGAGCATCCATTATTTTTATTTTGCATCTTTGTAATGAACGTTTGATAATAAAGAACTTTATTTGAACGTATTTCGCTCTGACCTTGTTATCCTTAATCGTTCAACATGTTTTGATTACGCTTTTATCTGTTCACATTCCCATAAAGAAGGAACATATTTTTTCAAATATTTGCCGTTAATGAATCTCACGTGCTTGGTGCCATCTAAATCTTCCAAATGATATGCTCCATTGGGCAACACACTGTTTACTTTATATGGT